GGAGAAGAGGACAACAAACATGGGGCTGTGAAAGGCTGTTTCGTCGGAGTTTCACCGACTCCTCAGGAGGCTGAACCCTCAACAATCTGCAGAATCCCCTAACTGATTACACTGTTAAGTGATACGCTCATAATCCACCTTAACCCCAGTGGTGGTTAAGCATCAACGACTGCCCAACAACTGATACCCTGAGGTGGGCAGCAACCACTGCCCTCAAGGTACCTGTGACGAAAATCAACGCAGACTATCACTCACCGATATATGTGTATGTATATTGTCACATAACTATGAACTAAAAGAGCGCACTTCGCAAAAAAAAAGGCAAGGATTAAAAAAACAAAACAAACAGGAGAGGCACTGAAACCATTTATTTTTATCATTCTTCTTTTAACTCCCCCTTCAGTATGCCTCTCACGTAAGAGGCTCACCACGTTGATGAAGTTGAGCGCGAGCTGCCCGCATCTCCGTGTGCCATAACGACCCACTTGTACGCTGTGAGAAAGAGGCAGAGTGACGGGGAAGGTGATAAACACAGGGAAGAGAGATGAAGAGAAGACGAACAAAGAACCAAAAGGGAAAGTAAGGGAAAGTACGGAGTGTGGAATGAAGATGAAGGCAAAGGAGAGGATAAGAAAAGCTCAAGAGTGAGTCTGCCCTTGACGACAGAGAGGACACACATTGTAAGGATGAGGTGGGGGAGCACATGAAAGACCTAGGTGAGCATTATCAGCACAACAATTGCCACGATGGCTGGCATTGAGCATCCCCACCATACACTCCCGACAAATGGCATGTTGATTGTAGGCCAAAATGAAGGAAGAACGCTCACCACAGAAGACCATGCATTCAGTACAGAGCCCATGGCTGCAAAATGGACATGTAGTGTCTGGATGTGGAGGGTGCCTGCAGTCAGGAACGGAGGGACCGTCCTTTACTGAAACGATTTTCACCTTTTGCAGTCACCGATGCGGGCCCAGAGTTCGATCCTCGGAACTTACCTTACCCGTGTACAGAATCGAGTTGACCCCTGAGTGTTGAACCCACGACCTGTGTTTTGGTAGTTGGATGTTGTTTGTCGTATAGGTCTGTATAGTTGTAGGGGGTTGATATGTAGGTCTGTCGAATAGGGTTCATAGCTGTGTAGAGGCCATAGCTGTAGCGTTTCTGAAAGGTCAAGGTCATAGCTTCTACAGTCCCGAAAGGCTAAGGTTGTAGCTGCTACAGTCCCGAAAGGCCAAGTCCACAGACTTCCGGAAGGTCCGGAAGTGGCCTTTCGAGAGTTTCTCATGTTTAGTCAGAGGCAAGTGGGCAAGTGGTGAGTCCAACTTTGCTTAGTCAGCGGTACCCAGTCCCAGTCTCACTTTGCACAG